TCCATGAGAAGGGACTCTGACTCTCAGTTGCCAGAACATGATCGCCACATACTAGGCCATTAATGGTTATTTTAATAAATGAATGAATGAGTTTCCACTAGACGTTGGATTTCAAATAAAAATTATCTAATTCAATCACCTGGATCTTGTATTCTAAGGTTCTTTCATTAAAGGAAAACCTCTCTTCTTTGTGCTTAGAAATCCGATCAAAAATTCAATAACCTGTAAAAAGTGAGAAAGGGAAACACCAAAAGAAAATAAAACCAAAAACCAAAACCCAAAAACCAGAAACCAATCATTAACTGGAGTTTGTCAAAGGCGCTCAGGAACCAACAGTAAGAGGTCACAATGGACAAAGCTGGAACATTTGAAGCAACAAATATACAAAGTATTGGAGTATATACATACGGAAAGGTTGTGCCCCCCAGATTCACACCTTAGCCTGCTGATGGCCAATGCACACTGGTGTCAGCGCAGGGGCCACAATCCGGCTCTCCCACCCCTTGGTTGAGTGTAAGCACTGCACCAAGCTGTGCTTTCCTATGACTTATACTGAAATATTTAGCTTTTATATTATTAACTCACATTATTTAGTTATTTAATCCTCCTAATTTTCCTAGGAAGGAATACATTCTATTGCAGAATTGTAAAACTGGTTAGGGAAAAAATTCCAGAAGTTGTTAGATCATAATTTCAGAAGCCTTGAATATAAATGCTTACAGGCTTCCAGTTTGGGTGTCCGAATAGCACGGGGTAAACATACGGTCCCTGCCATAAGCCCAGTTTTGCCTCCTGTGGCCTTGTGCCAGTACTTCACTTCTCCAAACCTACATTCCTTCCTATGTCAAATATTAGCATCTTGGAATCATGAAGATTAGAGTCTAGGAATCTTCATCAAGTCATGGAGTGACTCAACGGGTTCATAGGTTCTTACATGGAACTGAGGGTCACTTTCGGTCTTTAAGGACCATAGTAGAAAAGAAAGGGAAATTAGGATCTCTTTCATGATTCCATGTTTCCATCCAGACATACATTCACTCATGCATTCCCACGTTCAATCACGCGATATTATTCAGGCACCTGTTCACCAATACCTAACTCCTCCTCTGGGGCAGGCCCTGGGCAGATGACCCATCCTCAAGGAGCAGCCCCCAACCATGGGGCCCACTGTAAACTTCCTACGGTCATTGTCTGGTTTCTCTGGGCTGTGCCAGTTCCCCTGCAGTGACAGTGTCCCAAGCTTCACCCGCCTTGGACTTGGTGGCCGTTAACTGACACGTGCAGAGATTCTACCCCCAGAGCATATGTCTCACCTGGATGGAGAACTGCCGTGCATTCCAGGGAGAGAAGCAGCCCGCGCCGAAGCAGAACAGTTATGAGACCTACACTCCGGAGAGCATGCAGCTGGTGAATGCCTCGGTGCAGGGGTCCGAGCATGTGCTCACCTGTAAGGTTCAGCACGAGGCACAGCCTCCCACCCGGGCCAGCCTCATACTGTCCGCAGCAGCCCACAGCACAGACAACCCCCTTGGGAGCCCAGGTAAGCTCACATCTAATCCTGTGAGCAACTGGGTCACTTCTGTCTCCAGGTGGAGTGAGGAATTAACACCCAAGAGCTCCATTTGTTGTCTCCTCTGCCTGTTTTCCCTTAGGTCCAGCGACGCCTGCCCTTATCTCTGTAGCTTTCCTCCTGGGTTTCAAAGTGCTGCTGGTGATCGGTTTCATGGTCTTACATGTGCAGGTGGCAGAACCTGTAACAGGTGAGTTGATGGCAGCCTTTGTCCTTAGGGAGGGAGATCAGGGCCCCTTTCCTGGGCTGGCAAGAGGAGTCCAGAGTGAGCACACAAAGTCACAACGATGATCCAGCCTCAAGGGAAGGTTCTGAAAAATCTCATTTTCTCCAAATGTATCTTGGAATTCTCAGAGGCTTCCAACTGTCATGCATTGAGTAGCGCTCTGGAGTTTCAGAGTTTTCCTATTAAGTTTTCTGGGACCCTGAAGGTGAGGGTCCAAGGTGTAGAGGTGGGATAAAGGTCAAAGTATTGAGATCAAGATCCAAAAGAGCACCCTCATAAACTACTATGGATTTCATTATCACGTGATCTATCCTTGGAATGAATGAGAAAAGTATTGCTATAATCAACTAATAGAACCTTCCTATGGGACTTGGAGGTGCGGACAGGTG